TATTATATAGTATTATCAATATTTATTTTAATAAAAATAATATAATAATATCATGGAAGCCCCAAATAAACTATTTAACGTATACATAAGTAAGTCGATAACAAAACTGAATAAAAAAACACTTGCAAATTAGCTTACATAGACCAACACGAGCCAAAGTGTGTGAATTGTCATTTGTTGCGGTCCGTCACGATAACCAGAGTTGTAATTTATTTATTTTTTATTTATTTATTATTATTATTTTTTTTGCACCATGATATAATCTAACATACAATGAATAAACATTTCAATTTTCGTTGAAATATTATAGCTATACAAATTTTTATATACTTTTTAGTAGAAAATGTACAAGCATTCGTACACTTTTCCCCACCACTGCATGCCGGCAAAAATAATAGAAACAAACAAAGCATGGTTGTTTAAACGCATGTTTTGACGGAAAGAAAAGATGGATTTTAATAATTAGCACATCAATTTGAAGGAATATATAAGTACATCATTTGCCTACTTTAATTTCCTATGTCGCTAAAAGTATTGTGTTCTGCTGCGGTTTTAGTGATAAAAACTCATTTTGACATGAACAAACCAGTAAGGAAAGCAGTAAAGTCGGACTGGGCCGACTATATGATACCCTTCACCACTTTGGGTATATTGTACATATGTATCCTTACATTTGTATGTCAATGTTCCCTCGAAGGAACATACTCATGTCTTTCTGCAACCTGTGGTAAATTTAATTTCATTTAGGCAGATTTAGAGTCGTCTGCGTACCATGGGACAAATTTATGGAAAACGATTCATAGCAAAATTGATACACTCTATTCGGTACGCCGCACTGTTAAAAATTTAATTTCAATCAGCCACCCGTTCGAAATACATATGGAAGCTATGGCTGCATCCGCACCAATTTCAATAACGTCATTCAATTCCCAATTTGATACGTTGTGCAAAATTTCGTGTTAATCGGACACATATTAGGAGTTTGGTGCACCATTTACGTAAAATCGGACCAATATATATGTATAAATAGGAGTTATATAGAAATCTGAACCGATTTTTCCGAAATTTAACACACATCATTCTAGACTCAATTCAGTACGTTATGCCAAATTTCGTGCAAATCGAAGGATATATAAGAACTTTGGTGCACCATTGACATAAAATCGGACGAACATATATGTGGGAGATATATCTAAATCTGAACAGATTTTCACGAAACTTAACACACATCACTCTAGACTTTATGTTATGCCAAATTTCGTGCAAATCCAAGGATATATAGGGACTATGGTGCACAATTTACATAAAATCGGACGAAAATATATATGGGAGTTATATCTAAATTTGAACCGATTTTCCCGAAATTTAGCACAATTCATTACGCTATCCCAAATTTCGTGTAAATCTAATTGTTCACGTAGCGAACATGGTTTTTAAATAATAAATATAGTGAACGTCTTGCTGTGGGTCTCTTGTGTAGAACATTTAGTTAAACAGGGATCTATTTTTGTCTACAGTCCACTTAAGATAAGAGATTATTTTGGTTGAATATTTGTATACAATAATAAGATAGGAGTTTTCTATTGCCACATGTGGTATGGTTGGGTGAGATTACGGGGAGTAATCTTCACTACAGACTGATAAGCATGAGTAGCGTGCTTGCCACATGTGAGATAAAGAAATGTGTGTGTCCACTCCATGTGTTATGGCAGATGCACTCTCTCTCTCTCTCTTTTACACATTAGTCTATGATAGGTTAAGTCATATTGTAATATTTAGTTCTTAAGAAACACTTTTAATATTAATAAATTAGTGTGTAAATGCACCACAAACAATACAGAAGTGCATTCACTCCGCGGACAGTATCCGCGTAAGATCCCTAGTTTTTCATTGGTCCTTCGAGCCGGATCAGTGACCGATTGTGGAGGAAATTGATGCTGAAGAATTTGCCTTAAAGGTCAAGGAAATTCTCTCAGCTTGGAGGAAATCTAAATAGAAAAAAAATAATTGAAAAACAAAATGCTGAGTCAAAAGGAGACTGCGGCAAGGAAGTCGGCGGTGAATGCGAGACAGCATTTCCGAGAGAAGAAGAAGGAGATGCAGTGGAAGTACGAGGCAGTACATTGCAAACATTCAAAATGCTGAGTCAAAAGGAGACTGCGGCAAGGAACAAAGCGGTGACGGCGAGACATTTAGCCAGCGAAGCTTCGATTCTGAGCATAGCGGCTGCAGATGAAGATAAACTAGGCAGAGCCTCGGCACCGACCCTGGAGTGGGAGATAAACAATCTTCTAAGTAATATTAACATGTTCGCAGAGAATATCGATCGACTATCTGCGAATGTGGTACCGAACCTATATGACTTTATAGAAAGTCTATTGAGGGACGCATCCGATGAAGTAAAAGGCGATCCGGTGGTGCGGGATCGGTGGATGGAGATATTGGAGAAGAAATCCAATATGGCAGGAGGTTTTAGACCAGTCCAAGAACAAATGGGCAGCCTTCAAAGAGCATTGGAGGAGAAAAGCCGTGACGTGGCGGAGTTACGGGCAAGGAATGAAGAGCTAGAAGTTGCTCTAAAAAGATCGCAAGACGTCAATGGTTGTGACCAGTTGGTGATAAGAATGGAGCGGCAATTGGGCATGAAAAAGAGTGATGCGGTGGCTGGTGCGGAGAAACCAGTTATGGAACAATGTCCAGTTGGGAAGTTGAAGCCGGCGAACAAGGAGCAGGTACATAAAGGAAGACTTGCTGTGAACTGTGCGTCGCCAGTGGTTACTTGTTTTGCCGGTAGGAAGATGAAGCCGGAGGAAAATGGCGCTGAACCCACAACAAAATATAATAGTGGTAATAAGCAGAAACCGCTAGTTACGGATGTTCCGGTCAGGAAGATTGTCGATATATATATCGTGGAAATGCGGCCGGGAAGTTGGATCCAGCAGTCACATGCAATACGCAGCCAACGTTAGATGGTGCATCACGTAATAAAGATGACGTTCTGCGGAAGGAAATGAAGTCTGCGGTCAGAAGCGGGAACTATGCTATGATGGAGTTTGCAAATGGCACAGCTTGGAGAATGATGTTGCCGGCCAAAGATGCGGACAAGCCACTTGGAAGCCGTATGATCGAGAAGCTGACGAAGACTATGACCAATGGTTCTGGCTGGAAGATGAAGCCGGCAGACCAAGGTGGAGGTGCCAACATAAGAAGCTGTTTGGAACGATGGCGGTGGTACCTAGAGGCTGGTTCTTTATAATTGAATTTTTGATATTTTATAATTTTTATATCTTGGAATAGTTTATATTTTATATTCATTTTCTGGCCCGCAAGATGTTCACGTAGCGAACATGGTTTTTAAATAATAAAGATAGTGAACGTCTTGCTGTGAGTCTCTTGTGTAAAAGAGAGAACATTTAGTTAAACAGGGATCTATTTTTGTCTACAGTCCACTTAAGATAAGAGATTATTTTGGTTGAATATGTAGAATGTACACAATAATAAGATAGGAGTTTTCTATTGCCACATATGGTATGGTTGGGTGAGATTACGGGGAGTAATATTCACTACAGACTGATAAGCATGTGTAGCGTGCTTGCACATATGAGATAAAGAAATGTGTGTGTCCACTCCATGTGTTATGGCAGATGCACTCTCTCTCTCTTTTACACATTAGTCATATTGTAATATTTAGTTCTTAAGAAACACTTTTAATATTAATAAATTAGTGTGTAAATGCACCACAAACAATACAGAAGTGCTTTCACTCCGCGGACTGTATCCGCGTAAGATCCCTAGTTTTTCACTAATGATATAAAGGGATTTTTTCCCTATTTACCTAATCGGACGAAAATATATATGGGAACTATATCTAAATCTGAACCAATTTTCACGAAACTCAACACACGTCTTTCTATTCTTAATTCAGTACGCTATGCCAAATTGCGTGCAAATCGAAGGATATATAGGGACTGAACCGATTTTTCCGAAACTCACCAATCATCATTCTAGACTCAATTCAGTACGCTGTGTCAAATTTCGTGCAAATCGAAGGACATATATATAGCCACTTTGTTGCACTATTTACCTTAAATCGGCCGAAAATACATATGGGAGCTATTTCTAAATCTGAACCGATTTTTCCCAATTTCAATAGGGTTCGTCCTTGGGCCAAATAAGTTACCTATGCCAAATTTCATCCATATCGAATCAAAACTGCGACCTGTACTTTGTTTACAATTTAACTCGGACAGACGGACATGCATAAATCGACTAAGAAAGTGATTCTATGCATATTCTCAAAAGGAACCATGACACATATGCACAAAGACATAATACCCTGTACCACAGTGTGGTGAAGGGTATAATAATAGAAACATTACAAACATTAAAATTTATGATTAACTTTAGATAAATTCTTATTTTCCAATTCAAGTTTAGAAAATCCACGTTTTTGACCAACAATGGTTTTTAATATTCTGCATTTCAAAAATTACCTTGATATAAAAAAACAGCAACAATTGTTGCAAAAGAAATGACAATTTTATTATAAGTTGCACCAAATGGGGCAGGGTATAATAATAGTTTAGAGTTTATAATAGTGTAATGCTGGAAACATCAAACAATTACAACATTTTCTGTAAACCCGTTACTTATAAAAATTTAAACATCCAACTCTCAGCAACTCAATTGTCTTCTCTTTCAATTTAAAAACACAAATTCCAAAAAAAATTTTACAAAATGTATTTAGTAATCGAACATATCTAATACATTTCAAATGCAAATATTTCTATCCAAAGGAAACTGTTGCCCAATCTATATGACTATTTATTACCCCAACTAATCGCTATTAAACGATTTAGGGATATGCTTATATTATGGACATACGACATTTCTATATAGACAGTCCGTATTTTATTTATGTTGTATATGTTATTTGCTTTTTATTGGTATCAATTACAGTTTACTAAAGCTTTTTTTCTCCTCCCACACGCATCTTTAAGGCACAAATCTCGCATGGAATTAGTACGTGTGTCGGCTGCAGTAATGGGCATTGAATTTTCCTATGCAGCTGAAACAGCATTTGTCTCTCCAACTCTTTTGAAGATAGGGGTTGAACATCAGCACATGACATTGGTATGGGCATTATCGCCGCTGGTGGGATTTTTTCTTACCCCAATTCTGGGTTCCATGAGTGACCGTTGCAAATTAAATATGGGACGTAGAAGACCGTTTATTATACTTTTGTCTATTGGCGTATTTTTAGGTAAAGAGAAGTCTATTCAAATATATTTATTTTATTTAATAAAACCTATGTTTTGTTCCAAGGTCTCTTGTTGGTACCCAATGGTGAGGATTTGGGCTACGCATTTGGAGATGTTGATCCACACACCCAACTATCAGTTATGAACATTACATCCAATGGGACGCACAATAACATAAACTATTCGGCACATCGGGCAACAGCATCGAAAACTGAGTTGGGCACAGTTCAGAAAACTTCTCATCCATGGGGAATATTTTTCACAGTGCTTGGAACGGTGTTACTGGATTTCGATGCAGATGCCTGTCAAAGTCCATCCAGGGCCTATTTATTGGATGTTTGCGTACCAGGTATGTTTATTAACGAAAACTCGGAAAATCATAGATGATGCCTGCTATTGTATTGGATGAAAAATGGGCATTGTGTGCAAAAAAACCTCAATGTTGAATTTATTGAATAAATACGCAAAATAAAGGGCGAGTAGATTAGAATGTTGAATATACACTATGCAAAATCCATATTCGTTTTTTAAACATAGAAAACATTATTAATATGTACAAGATATGTATATGATCTAAAAATTCACTAAATGTATGACATTTATTTTGTATGTAAGCATTTCTGACAAAAGGTAAATAGCGGTAAAAAGTACAAAGGAAGGCCACATTTGTTCATCTTTTTCTTACCATAAATACTAATTTAATGACTACAAATGCAGACACTGCAGAAATAAAAATTGCAAAATCAAAAATGTCGCGTGAGTGACCCTCTTTTGTGGCTTTTATCTCTAAAGATAAAAACTGGATGCTCTAATTTTTTTTACTACTGATAGTACTAGTACTCAAAGTATTAAGGGTGAATTAAAAAAAATTAATAGTGCTTGATTTATTTAACAAAGCGGATCCATAAAAAGCGGATCCATACTGATAATTCGACAAATCGATTTATGTAAACCATTATGTACCCCAAATACAAAATTCAGCAATTTTAATGGGGACTCTTCCTAAAATAATATTTATAATATTTGGTGTATAAATTGGGTACCTAATAAGAAGCCAATGTACCAAATTTCAACGAATTCGGATGAACAACGTGCTCAAAAACCCCAAAATACCGATAATTGAGGGTGGGCCGATATATCCCATCCCGATATATGGCATCTTCGAATGCATCCTAACAGACGTTTCGAGTTTGGTACTTGTCACACGATGGGCTATACTATATTTATTAAGTTGTGCACAAATTTGTGCCTACCCGCCCTATTTTGGGCCCTTGGTGCATCATTTACTTAAAATCGGACAAAATATATATGGGAGCTATATTTAGTACCGATTAAACGTTAAACTACACTAACTTCAGTACGTTGTGCAAAATGTTGTGACAATCGGCCTAACTTTGGGTCTTCGGACGAAACTATAAACATTTAATACTTTAGGTATAGTAACTGCAGCACGTTGTGCAAAATTTTTTAGGTCTTTGGTGCACCATTTATTTAAAATCCGACGAAACTATTTATGGGATCTTTATCTAAATCTGAGCTGATTTCAATAAAACTTGACACACTTTATGTTATAGTAACTTCAGTACGATGTGAAAAATTGTCTGGCAATCGGGTCTATGGACGAAGCTGTATATTGAGCTATATCTAAATCCGAACCGATTTTCCCCATTTTCAATAGGGTCTGTCCAATTCGGATCGAAAATGCGTCCTATACTTTGTTTACAATTTAACATGGACAGACGGACGGACATACATGCATAAATCGACTTAGAAAGTGATTCTATGCATATTCTCAGAAAGAACCATGTGTCTATATCCATGAGTCTATATTGCCTGTTACAAACATATGCACAAAGACATAATACCCTGTACCACATACAATCATAACAGCGAAGGACTATATAAACATTTTATAACAAAACTTGAAGTAAAGTTCAGTCAAAATGGGGAGATCTCGAGACTTTATCTTTCCAAAAGGTAACGATCACAATCATACTGGACTAGAATCCAGACTTTGAATCCTGCATAACCATCCCAAATACCCACAAAGCCCAAATCTTATCCTATTGAGAACTTGTTGTCTATATTCAAGGGCCCCTTAAGAATGGAATGGAATCAAATATCACCCGAGTTAACATCGAAACTGTTCGAATCCATACCTAGGCGTCTAGGCGCGTTCATAAAACATAACTTTTGTTTCAATAAAATATTAACTTTAGTTCGAATCTGTTATTTCCGCACAGAGTAAGAATATCTGTAATATGAAAAATCCGCCATCTTGCGGCTGAATAATGAATTTGGTATACATAAGTTTTTTTTTTTTTAATTTAGTGGTTGTACGATTATTGCATACTGTACCTTTTTTATCAGCTTATGTTCGTCAGTTAAACGATAAAGCATTGCAATTTTGCAGATGTATTAATCCAAGGATGATTAGTAGTGAAAACAAGCAACATCTGGGACCTGACCTCAATTCAGACGATCATAGACTCATCATGTCGAAATGGCACATAAAAAGTAACAAAAAGTATTGCGTTTTAAAAATCTGTACAAACTAAATACAGCTGGGAATAAAAAACTTACCCTCCACCATGAGTTTGATATTCAAAATACATGACATTCAATAGTTTTATGTGGGTGCTATGCCATGGTAAATATTTGGTTGGAAGATTTAATACCCAATAACTTAATATTTAAAATTTAAGTCAATATTAATTGTTTTTGGTGGCTTCCCTACCAATTGAAATGATATATCTTTTCTTCAATACCAACATCAGGCAGGCAGATGGACATAGACAAATCGACATAGCATTTTAATATGATGGAGGTGTTGCAAAATGATCATTCAGAGATGTCTAACAAGATTTGTGAAAGATAGGATGCAAACAATTAACCAAGTCATTCAGGGAAATGTAAATATTAGTCCCAATATTTTATGCAAATTGTTTTTGAAAAGCAAATTAGCTATGAAAAGCAATAGCAAGAAAATATAAAGAAAATGAGAGGATAAGTTACAGTTTAAAGAAAAATTGCTTTGTCGAATGAAATGAAAATGAAATAAATCGTGTTCGGCACACCCTTGCACCTTAAACTTCAAACATATATTATGTAATGTCGCACAGACGTTACCGAATTGTGCCATTTTTTCGACTACGTTTTTCGTGGGGCAAAATTCTCCGTCGGGTCCTCATTATCCCTATTGTTATCTCAATTATACTCCAGGCAGAAAAGAATATTTCGTTGAACTTTGATTCATCAGATGCATCTACGAGATGCATGAAGCTTATTTATACTTTAATGGTGTACAACGCCATACTTTCCCACTAATAAATAGTTGTTTTTTTAAACAACAAACTGGGATTACGATTGACTATTTTGCAAAAAAAAAAAACACATTTAAGAAACAGATCAATACAAATGAGTTTCTATATTTTCTCTCGATTTCTGACTAAGCCACACATTTCATGACCTTCAAGTCAAAGTAAAAGTAGAAACCTACTAAATTATGATTAAGTCACTTATGTATTATTTTTCAAAACATGAGTTTCTTAATATCAATTATGGATTTATTTTGTATGTATGAAAGCGGAATATCCATTTTATTTTATTATTATAATAATTTTGCAAAATACTCACGGGTTGGAAGATAAGCTTCAGTACTTTCTAGAAACGGCATTTATAAGGTTATCCATTTCGTGATTTCCATAGAAAACGTAAATAAAATATTTTTTTATGATACATTATTATAATATAAAGCATGGACGTTGATATAATTATTATGTTCCGGTACTTTTTAATAGTAATGCTAATAAAATGGAAATGTCAAAATCGCTCTCAGAGTACAAAACAATACGAAAAGTTCTGGAAAGGATAACTAGTAAAAATTATTTTTTTAATATACATTTTTTATTATAAAGCTTGGACCTTGACACACTTGTTATGTTCTGCCTATGTATCCTGTATGACTCTGAATCCACCATAAAATTTAATTTAAATATTATTCCTTTTTTATGATTCACTAATTTATTATACCCTACACCATAGTTTGGAGGGTATATTAATTTTGTCATTCCGTTTGTAACTCATCGAAATATTTATTTCCGACCCTATAAAGTATATATATTCTTGATCAGGGTAAAATTCTAAGACGATCTAACAATGCCCGTCCGTCTGTTGTAATCAGTCTATCTTCTGAAGGAATTGAGATAGGGTGCTGAATTTTGCATAGGTTTATCTTTTGTCTGCATGCAGGTCAAGTTCGAAAATGGGATATATCGGTCCACGTTTAGGCACAGGTCTCAATTTTCGGTATTTTGGGGATCTTAAGCGCCGAATTCGTTGAAATTTGGTACATTGGGTTCTTTTTGGGTATCAACTATCTCCACTACAAATTATAAAATCGACCCACTTTTTCTGGTAGCCCCCATATATCGGTACCCCACCAAATTGACGGTATTTTGGTGGGTACTGATATATGAAGAAGTTTGAGGATTGTATATTCTACCATGCGTTATTAGTAACAGTCCACGCTTTGGGGGTTTCATTAAAAATTGATGAAATTTGCATTTGGTATAGATTCACTTTTTGGTATATTCCCTATATTTTCATTTCAAGTATCTGTCAGTATACATATGGTGGAGGGTATCCAAATTCGGGCCGGACGAACTTAACGCTTTTTCACTTGTTTTTTTTTCACTTTTAATTTTATTATGGAATACAAGGTTTTATGTAGTCCGCACGTCCTACTTTGCACCTTTACAAACTGTTTTTACATTTTGTTGTAAAATTACTCAATAATGTATATACTATAATTTATTTTGCAGATGATCACGCGAAAGGTCTGTCCACATTCACAATAATGGCTGGACTTGGTGGTTTTATGGGCTATTCTATGGGAGGCATTAACTGGGATGCAACCGCAATCGGCCGTCGTTTAGGTGGACATGTAAAAGCAGTGTTTACAATTATCACCTTTATTTTTATAACGTGCGTGTCCTTGACGATAACAAGTTTCAGAGAGATCCCGCTTTGGGCATTAGCCCCCTCAAAAGCATCAAGGCTATTAAAGGACGAAAACGATCGTCTAGAGGAAGGTTCCGTTAGTTATGGTGCATTGGATGAGACACAATTTGTTGAAAAAGAACAAAGTCAGTCAGAGGTAAGTTATTATATACTAGTATATCTACAAATTAGACTGGTAGTTAGATGCTGTTAGATTGTCCGAACATTATGGTTTAAGTACCGCTATATTCCCATTCTTTGCTGCTTTTTTGATTTTCCACTCGCTTTTAAACGGAATTGAGCGGAAAATGTCCCTAACAAAAATTATCAGTATTGATCCGTTACGTCAAAACCCCCCAACTTTCGGCATTTTCGTGATTTTAGAAGCATTTGAAACTGAATTGGCTTTTATTCGTTATCATTTCATACCAATTCAATAATATTGATCCATGGATGAAACGGATTTCCAACACGCTATAGTTTCACATTGTGGATTATCCTTGAATGGCAAATATTTCTACCTGAATTAAAAACTGTTGGTCCACTTTTAGGTATATCATCCGTATTAGCGGCATTTTGAGAATTTTAGACACCTTTCCCGCCCTACCAAAAAATATTATTATCGATTAAGATTTGGATTACACTGAAAATTTCAAAATTATAGCAGCTCCGTTTTGTGTGGCGCTGATCATCAGTCAGTTAATTATAATAAAACAGAATTTTAATAAAATAGCGCTATTTTATGTATTCTTTTCAATTCCATATTTATACCTTTATATTTGGTGTTTTGGGGCTTTTGCGTACTAATCAGCTGGTGCATGCTCCTTGCCGAACTTGAATAGTTCGGCTTGTAACCCATCGGCACCTGCTTCAGCCGATTGATGGATATTCTGACTTCATCTTGGCTAGGTGGTATACACTCCATACCGTTATCTATTATTGGTTCTGGGGTATCTTCTTCGCCGCTACTATTTGACAAACGAAGTTTTTCAAAATGCTCCTTCCAGATCCTCAGCACGCTGTCGGTATCTGTCACCAGGTTTCCTTCTTCATCTCTACTGGAGGATGTGCCTGCACCAAAGCCTTCGGTTTGGTGTTTTACCCGTTAGTAGAATATTCGAACTTCATTCTGTACATCCTGTACATCTCGATTTGCTCACGCTTTTCCTGTTCTTTCTTCTTTTTCTGAAAATAGGTTTCTCCTCTCTCCCTTTATCCCGATAGTTTTCCATCGCATTACGTTGCCCTATGGGCTGCGTTTTTCACATCAGTAGCATTACGACACTCCTGATCGTACCACGGATTTCTTGATGGTGGTCTTTGGTGCCCAATCATAAATTCGCAGCGAAATTCAAGTCTCGTTTCATGGCAGCTATAATACAGGGCGTAATCTTCTGATTTACTTACGCCAGTCACTTTCCAACGCATTTCCTGTAAGGCAATAATATCGGCTTTGTAATTCTTGAGTACATCCGCCAAAGCGAACTGCGCCTGTTCTGTACAACGTGCGCACATTCCAAGTGCAGATTCGCAGATTATGTGGGTTTGGTTTTCCTCTTCTTCGCTTTTTCATAGTAGGTTCGGTTTTCCGAGTGTGGGCAACTAACCCGACGCCTCAACCCATTTTTTATAGTTCTTATGGCTGAACTCGCGGCACATATTAGCTCACTAATTCATCGGGTAATGAAAATAGGTACCCCAGGTGGCACCACGGGGAGGTCAATGTCCACAATTCGCCGTGTTAAAGCCAATCAGAGCCTTGGTATCTATCATCCCCTACGCCATCCAGCTGATTAGTACAATTTGGCTAGAAGAACACATGCACAATGATTGAAACCTCAGCATCCTGTGTCCCGTGCACAAAAAAGGAAACAAGACGATATGTGCCATCTATAGAGGAATAAGTCTACTTCTAAAGGGTGAAGTCAATGGTCAATGAGATTATTGGACCATACCAATGCGGCTTCAGACCTGGCAAATCCACCAATGACCAGATTTTCACCTCTGCGCCAAATCCTGAAAAAAACCACGAAAAACACATCGACACATTCCACCTATTCGTCGACTATAAGGCCGCATTCGACAGCCCTTTCCGTTCAGAGGTGTATAAAGCCATGTCTGCGTTTGGCATTCCTGCAAAGCATAACTTTAACTGGCACAATATCAGCAGTTAAAGTCGGAAAGGACCTCTCGGAGCCCTTTAATACCGAACGAGGATTCAGACAAGGTGACAGTTTGTCGTGTGACCTTTTTAACCTCCTGCTGGAAAATGTCATACGAGAGGCAAAAGTGAACAGAAATGGCACTCTGTACACCAAACAACACATGTTACTCGCCTACGCCGATGACATCGACATAATGGGTTGAACACAGCCACCTTTGAACAAATAGAAGGGGAGTCTGCCAAAGTGGGTCTGGCAGTAAACGGCGAGAAGACCAAGGTGATAGTATTAACGCGCAAGACGCCCAGTAGACTCGGGCCAACTGTGGAACTTGAGAACTACAGCTTCGTTATATGTTATCTGAAGCATGGGTACTAGCAGCAGGTATTCTCGGACATCGACATTGTTAGACGTATTGAGCTGCAGCGACTACGTTGGTTTGGTCATGTTGTTAGAATGGATGAAGATGCCCCAGCCCAGATGGCATATAAAAGCGAACCAGCTGATGGTTCACGCAGAAGGGGAAGGCCACGAATAAGATGGAAAGATCAAGTGGAAGATAACATTGCCGAATATGGTCTTTCAAATTGGAAAAACTGCGCAAAAGACCGACCCGGCTGGAAATCTTTATACCCTTCACCACACTGTGGTACAGGGTATTATAACTTTGAGCATATGTTTGTAACAGGCAAAAGGAACCGAGATAGACCCATGGTTCCTTTTGAGAATATGCATAGAATCACTTTCCAAGTCGATTTACGCATGTCAGTCCGTCCGTGTATTTTTGTGAACCAAATACAGGTCGCATTTATGATCCGATTTCAATGAAATTTGGCATATGTGACTCATTTGGCCCAAGGACGAAACCTATTGAAATTGGAAAATCAATTCAGATTTAGATATAGCTCCCATATATAGTTACGTCCGATTTTATGTGAATGATGCACCAAACTCCCAATATTGGTCCGATTGTGACAAAATTTTGCATATATAGTTTCCCCCGATTTTATGTAAATGGTGCACCATACTATAGATGTTTATCCCATTGAGATAAAATTTTGAACAGAGTACTGAATTAGGTTTTGGATTTTGTGTCGAAATAAATTTTGGACAGTGTGTCCATTTCTATATAGATCTTTTACATACATATTTTACTCGATGATTGACATTCAATTTTTCATAAATTTCAGATTGGTACCCAAAGTGATGAAGGGTATCATATAGTCGGCCCCGTCCAACTTTTGAACTTTCCTTACTGGTTTAAGATCGGCTTATGGAACGAAAGTTCTGTCACAACCCAGCTAAGTAAGTAAGGGGCGTTTGCGTACGTTTTTTCAACTTTCTCAGCTGTAATTAGGTATTGTCGATTCTCACTGAGTAGAAAATCTTCGTACTAAAAATAATCAATATTTGTACACTTTTTAGGGTAGACCCATATAATGGTACCCTAATATCTTCGATATTATGAGACCTTAGGGCACGTTTTTTAAACAAAGGTGCTCTAATTTTATATTTTGGATTCTCATATGTTTGGACTCTCCCTACCAAAAATGATCAATATTATAATAATACATAATATTACTACAAAATCGGTCCTTGTTTTCATATAGCGATACATATCGATACGACCAATTTACGATATTTAGAGGATTTCAGACAAGTTTTTGCACCGTATTGTACACTGCGTGTCATATCTAAAGACGCACCTTTAATTCAATTGGTATGTTAGTTGGCAAATAAAATGGACCCATTAAGTTATGGTTCACAATAAAACGATCAAAAACACATATTATTCAATAAAAATAATTAATTTATTCTTTATGGTTTCGCCGAATTCTGCACTTTCAAAATTACTGGCGTTGCATAACTTTAGACGCACTTTTACAAAATTAGATAAATTTATTTTTTAAAACTTAAATAAAATAAAATAATTTTAATCAATAAATGGTAGAGCCTCCCTTATTTTAAATATGTTCAAAAATTATATCCATCATACCGCCTATCAATTTTTTTCGGAAATTTTCATTGATTGACCGCCATTCATTGTTTTTAACATCAAAGAAGTAACGTTGAGGTTAGAAACAGTTTGGAATTGGCGGTTTTCCGCATACACACAACGAGTCAAGATTCCACACATGTTCTCGATCGGATTCTGGTCGGAAATTTTAATATTTTTTTGATTTTAACCATACTTGAGTACGGCGACTTTTATGAACTGGCGCGTTGTCCTGCAGAAAACCGAGTCCTTCATTGTTGCTGCTTTCCCAAGTGGCAATAATTTGTCTTCCAAGACTTGAACGTACTCCATTGAATTCATCGGAATCACCATATTTCTTAAAACGATATTTCGATGGCGGTTCCTTAATGGTCTTTATTTGACATTTCCTAGTTGTCGGATGAATTCAATGGAGTACGTTCAAGTCTTGGAAGACAAATTATTGCCATTTGGGAAAGCAGCAACAATCAAGGACTCGGTTTTCAGCAGGACAACGCACCAGTTCATAAAAGTCGCCATACTCAAGTATGGTTAAAATCAAAAAATATTAAAATTTCCGACCAGAATCCGATCGAGAACATGTGTGGAATATTGACTCGTCGTGTCTATGCAGAAAACCGCCAATACCAAACTGTATTTTACCTCCAAGAAGTGATTATCGATGAATGGCGGTCAATCGATGAAGACTTGCGAAAAATGTTGATCAACAGTGTGTTGGATAAAATTTTTGAACTTATGCAAAATAAGGGAGGCCCTACCCATCTCTTCTCTGTATATATAAAAATTACGTGTATGTTCGTGATCGCTAAACTCAAAAACTACTGCACCGATTTTGACAAAATTTAATGTACAGGCTCTATGGGGCGTGAGGAGTGTTTCTTTGTAGTTTGAAGTTCATCCGACAGATGGCGCAATATTTAGTATTTTTGTGTTTTTGCACCGTAACTCAGAACCACTGCACCGATTTTGACCAAACTTTATGTATATGCTCTAATAGGCGTGATGAGTGTTTCTGTTTAATTTTAAGTTTGTCCGACAGATGGCGCTCTATATAGTTTCTTTGCGTTTTGCCCGATTAGAGATTGGGTGCTTAATCGACGTTAAGTATTCCGACACCAATTCATACATAACATATTTTCGTGAAAAGCGCGTGGGAGTCAAACGAAAAAAAAAAAATTAACTCATCATGTTGAGAACGGAGGGACTGATTTGACTAAAAATTTCGTTGAGATATCTTTATTTGACGTGAGAAGGATTTTATGAAAGAAAGTTTTGAGAAAAATACTCGAAAATCTTGAAAAACATATTTTGAAGCAGCAGTGATTTGCCTCTCTCTATATTTGCGGGATTCTCTATATATTTTTCTTGATGTGAAAAATGTTTCCAATGAGAACGACTGCACCACATTTGCCTACGGTTGTTTTTATTTGCAGTGGAAAAAGTTTTACCAAAGAAAATTTTGAATGTTGTGTTATTTACACCTTTGCACCAATTTTGATTCAAGGGACTTATGAATTGTATGTGATCAAAATAGGAATAGTAATTACGCCATCCATACTGAATGCGAATCCTACATGGAGAAAATTGCATTGAGAACGACTGCACCAATTTGACTCACATTTGCCTACGGTTGTTTTTATTTGCAGTGGAAAAAGTTTTACCAAAGAAAATTTTGAATGTTGTGTTATTTACACCTTTTATGAGGTAAGAGTAGTTAGATCAAAACATGAAAACTGAAAAAAGGATTGGTGGAATAAGTTCGACAAATTGATAAACTGAAATACCACACATACTGACATAATTCAATATTTAACAATAACAATATTTCTTAACATATTACCGTAGTGAGGAAAATATGCGATTTTTTTATATCGGAAATTTGACATAAATTAAATGGTAAATATTTTTTAAATTAATTTTTCATGAATTCGTTAATTTTTATTAAACCAATCTGCTAGTTATTTATAAAAGTTATTTTATTTTATTTGAGTTTTAAAAAATAAATTTATCTAATTTTGTAAATGTGCGTCTATAGTTATGCAACACCAGTAATTTTAAAAGTGCAGAATTCGGCGAAACCATCAAGAATAAATTAATTATTTCTGTTGAATAATATGTGTTTTTGATCGTTTTATTGTGAACCATAACTTAATGGGTCCATTTTATTTGTCAACTAACATACCAATTGAATTAAAGGTGCGTCTATAGTTATGATACGCAGTGTATGTCAGTAATGCTCAAAACTTCCCAAAAGCATACGTTAGCGTATATGGTTAAAACGTATTTTCATATGTTCTCTTTTCCTCAGTCATTTTATGTGATGATTACTCAGTTACGCTTACCAAACTAACTCTCAACATAGGTCTGGGCAACACTGTTGTATGTAATTATATATTTTTTATTCTCAATGGGTGGCAAATCCCTCTTACTAAAAAATTCCAATAGGCTAATGTGATACACCATACTAAATAATCACCCTTATTACGGTTGGCGTTATCGTAGGCTGTCGCACATATACGACAAATCGGTATTAAGAAAGTCGTTACAATACGGCAAATTTGTCGTTCAAGATTCTATTGACGACAACTAACAAAAAATATTAAAAATACTTAAAATTGCATTTTCACAATATTTGCAGATTAACTGATACATTAGAATTTAGAATTTTATTGAATTTCTCATTATTCATAAGAATTACACTTATCACAAAATTAATTAGAAAACAAACAAAATGGCATAGCTTTTCCTATACAATATTCTAAAACTTTTCTAAAAGTAAAATTTTTGCTTTGGTTTTTTAACAGAGTAAAAGAAAAATCTATTACAAAATTTGGCGTTGTCGTAAATTTTACATAATGCCGACTAAAAAAACTACGACTACGCCTACCGTAATAAGGGTGAATGTTATTCAGATCAATCATTCTTCGGTCGGTTTTAGGTATTTTGAATATCCACTACATGGTAGACGGTATAAAAATTTCGGACCAGCTCGAACTTAGCCACTTTCTTACTTGTTTTTATAAGATTGGGATTTATGACAAATGTCGAAGTTTCGTATCAATTTTCTAGACGTAATACACGTTAAAAACGTCATTAATATTTACTTTAAACAGAAAGCCATATTTGCAATGTGTTTATAACGAAGAACGTCCCAACATTTTTATGCATATGTCCAAATGTTTCTTAAATTACATTCATAATGGAATAACTAATACTAACCTCCATGCCCTGTGTACATCCCAGGTCAGAACAAATGTTCTAAAATGTCTATGACAGATAAGACGGTTTCATACTTTGTCAGTTTTATATATTTTGAATACGTTTGATGATAAGTAGATAATGCTATTACAACAAAAGTTTCTGCAATGCTTTTTAGCTAATTGTGTTTTTTACATCTTCCACCATAACAATGTCAAGGCTCCTCAGCCAGCGACTGAAGGACAATCGGATTATTTTGGTGAGATTGACGAATCGAATGTGCAAAATGAACAGACACAGCCGCCAGATGATTCTTGCGCTGCACCACCGCCAGAAGCCGAACAAGCAGTTGAAACACTATCCCATTACTTACTGTCTATTGTCTACATGCCACACTCCATGCGTATGGTTTGCCTGACAAATCTCTTTTGCTGGATGGCACATGTTTGTTATTCCCTGTATTTCACCGACTTTGTGGGAGAAGCTGTGTTCAACGGAGACCCAAAAGCACTAGAAGGATCAAAGCCGCAAATTTTGTATGAGGAAGGCGTGCGTTTTGGTTGCTGGGGAATGGCCATGTATTCCTTGTCGTGTGCTTGCTATTCCTACGTTATTGAAAGATTAATACAACGTTTTAAGTAAGTATGAAGACATATTGCGTGCTTCTCATTAAGGTATACTTTTCCACAAAAACGTCTAAAATATTATGTAAATATCAGGACATCCAGTATAAATCAATTCACCTATCATCTAATGAATTTGCCAGAAAATTATATAACATCTATGAATTTATTAAAAAAAGCTACATTTTTGCTGCTTTTATTGTAACTGCCGCTATCTGTTGTCATTGCTTGTTTTTATGACGGCATAAAGATGACAAAAGCTACAGTTATATTCCAAAAACAACAACAAATTTTACTTCATTTCACAAATGAAGCTTGGCACAGAGTTTATGTAAAAATGTATTTAATAGGTTGCCAAATTTCGTACAAATCGAATGATATTTAGGGACTTTGGTACACCATTTACATAAAATCTGACTAAACTATATATGGGAGCTATACCTAAATCTGAACCGATTTCAACAAAACTTCGCATGCATCAATCAGTTCCTAATTCAGTACTCTGTGCAAAATGTTATCTCAATCGGACCAATATTGGGAGTTTAGTGCACCATTTACATAAAATCGGACAGAACTATATATGGGAACTATATCTAAATAGGGTTCGTCCATGCATAAAATAAGTGACCTGTGCCAAAAGTCATTTAAATCGGATCATAAATGCGACCTGTACTTTGTCCACAAAAATACGTGGAAGGACGGACAGACGGACATGCATAAATCGACTCAGAAAGTGATTCTATGCATTTTCTCAAAAGGAACCATGGGTCTACCTCGATTCATTTTGCCTGTTACAAACATATGCACAAAAACATAATAACCTGTACCACAGTGTGGTGAAGGGTATAAAAATCGATTGGCAGCACATAATTTCGCATACATATTCATGAACATGCCAAGCTTGAAGTCCTCTTATGTGTTTCCCCCCTAAAACCTAGATTTTTTGTGGAAATCGCCAATTTGTAATTAAAATAAAATTGAAATATAGGAAGATCTTCACGTTTAAAATATTAGATGCGCTTATTTCTCAAGGGTGAAAGACAGGCTTAACATGTTAACTTGCCTTTTTTATTGTAAAATAACAAAAGAGAATGGCGTCCATAATCAAGTATGACTCTGATATTTCTTTAGAAATTGACATTTCAGTCCCCTTTACTCCATTATTCTGTTACATTTGTAAGAGTTTTTAAATTTTCACTTGAAATCTAGTTAGCTTATATATACCCTAGACAGACTTAATTTACATTAAACAATTCTAATTTTAATTGACATTTACCACTGGCAGGCAAGAGTTTTTGCATTTTATTTATTTCAGAGCTCCGAAATGCTCGCTCCAATTCGAGTAAAGAGTGAACCTTGCTCGAATTCGAGCGCGAGTACTCCTGCGAGTAGAAAAAATAAATCGAGTATACTCTATTTCTCTCTGCCACTCAAATAAGAGCGCAAGTGCTTCGCTCGTTTTAGAGTGGGAGTGAAATACGCTCAATCGAGCAGATTCCACTCTTGGCGAGTACTCCTTTTCGAATATCACTTTTTTAAATAAAAAATGAAACTCATGGTATAATAATAAAAGGTAACAGCAAGTGTTGTTGTACAAAAAACGATACAACAACCACATGGAAATTTGTTGTTGTAAGTTCTACTAGTGTCAACTCATTTGACAGAAAAATGTAAACAAACAAACAAATTATCATCAAATTATTTTTATTTTGAAAATGGAATATTTTCGAACCCTCAAAATAAAAATTGAAAAACATGAATGAAAATCTATCAAATTTATATTTCTATCGCTTCCACATCTTCCCTTTAATTGAGCCATTGCCATATATATGTGTAACACATATGACAATGCTGGGAATAGCGAGTAATTCCTTCAAGAAAGATTTGCTTCCTCAAACTTTCCCAGCAGGCAGATTGAGTAAATTGAATACGGGAGCACATTAATAAAGAACAATTTCAAATTGTATGCGTTCCCAATTTTCCTGTTGGGTGATTTTTAAAACCATAATTTGTCAAATTCATATTGACACTAGTATTACGTTGGAATCAAATCAGCTGGGATTTGCTGTTACCTTTTATAATTGTACCATGAATGAAACTAAATAAAAATATTTTGATTTTAAAACTGAGTAATGAACTGCTTAGGTATTGATGGACTTTCTTGCAAAAAAGATTTTTATTTGAACCTTGTATGTGTAAACATGATCGATCAACAACAAAAACTGTTTGCTACCACACACGCAAATCACAAAAAAATATTTGTCCATTCGATTTCATTCGTAGAGTGAACTCTTACTCTATTTCGAGCATTTAGACTCTCACCCCTTTTTCATTAACGAGGAGTAGTCGCGAGCATTCCCAAACAAAATGAAAGAGTGGCGAGTATACTCCTCAGAAAACTCGTACTCTTCACGTACTCCCACTCAGGAGTACTTTTCACTCGCGAGTAAAATCGAGCAAATCGGAGCTCTGATTTATTTATTTTATTTATTTATTCCAAAAATGCAATTTGAAGTCATTAAGGCCGATTTCAATTAAATTGCAAACTATACTACTCCATTTAACAAGATTTCTTAATGATATTTCTTAATGATATTTCTTAATGATATTTCTTAATGATATTTCTTAATGATAAGTTATTATTCTAAAAATCATAATATATTTGAATGTTTGGCAAGTGGCTAACTACTCAAGTAAGTGTATTAATATCACATATTCAATATTAGTAATAAACAGCATTGCATAAAATATAAGAATTTAAATTTGTATATTATAAAAAAAGATGACATACTTTGATTTAGGTAGAAAAATTGAGAACTACTCCAAAAACATTAGTAAATAATATTATAATTTGTTTAGATATTTTAGACATAAAATCAATTTAAGCATACCCTATTTTACGTTTCGAAGGTATTGCGGAAAGGGTTCATTATAAATCATATTTATAGAGCACAGATAATTAAGTGGAACCGTAGTGGTCTATTATTTTATTATTATTTTTATATGTGCTGCTTGATAATGAAAATTGTTTTAGGGAATGCGGGAGCTTATTGAAAGTTCTGGCAATTCGCACCTGAAATGATTTATTCATCTGACCGATAGCTCTTTGAACAATTAATTAGTTTGTTCTTTTATAAAATTATTTATAAACAGTTTTTTGTTTAAAACTTTTGTTTAAATGTGTGTAGGAAGAAAATATTGACATTTGTTTCGATATTCATCACATTTAAATTGCTAAATTCAGTATAAATTCAAAACATAAAAAAAACGCGGATAATGCACAGATTAATTAGAATTAAGGCATTTAATGCAAATAAAGGCTGTCATCTGTCTAGCCATTAAGTACTGTAATAATAAATACTAACCTGATTATGTATTATAGGGCAAAAAAAGTATATGTTGGCGGTTTATTATTTTACTGCTGTGGAATGATGCTCATGGCTATGACACGGGCCAAGGCAAGTGTAATAATATTCAGCTGGGCAGCAGGTGTGATGTACTCTACTCTCTTTACGATGCCTTATCTTCTAATAGCGCATTACCATGCGATGGGAACGGTAAGTACATGATTGTTCTTGCAATATAGAATAAAACTTTTAAATTTTATATGCAGTTTGAACTAAATGTAGATGGATCGGCAAAACTGGGATCTGGTGTACGAGGTCTGGGGACTGATGTGGCCATCGTTAGCAGTATGGTATTTTTAGCCCAATTTATTCTGTCCATATGTATGGGAACGATCGTATCTGTGTCTGGAACAACCACCGCTGTAGTTAGTACAGCCAGTTTTCTTAGTTTTTGCGGAGCATTGTCTGCTACTCAAATAATGTATTTGGATCTATAAACATTGTATCAAAATGTGTGTACATTTGTTTACGTGGTTGTTGTTTGTATGTAAGGTATATGTGTATGTAATATCTCACTAAATGTATAAATATGTATTTAAATAAAAAAATTTTGGTTTCTAATTGTTGGGCCAAGTTTTGGGGATAATCTCAATATAACGATACAGTATTATATTGCCTGAATGTCCTCCATATAAAGCTCCAACTTATAGGCATTTTCAGGTTCTAGGGGTATTATTCACCATATTTGAGCATTATGAGTTTTATAATAAAAATTAATTTTTAAAGAAGTTTTCTGTCCAAATAAAGACACATATAGTTATAAATTATCGACGATAGATAAAATATCTATGCCCTTTTTACAAAGTCAATATGTTTCTAATAATTTAAGATCTATTAAAAGTCCAGGTCCGGATGGCATTCCTAGCATAATTCTTAAGTACTCCGATACATTAGCTATCTCTTTAACGCTGTTGTTTAATTATTCCCTAAAATATAGTCATTTTCCTACCTTCTGGAAGAAATCCTATATAGTTCCTTTACACAAATCAGGTAGCTTAACTAATGTCTCGAATTATAGAGGAATTGCTAAATTAAGTGCAATTAAAAAATTATTCGAAAAATTGATTACTGATGTAATTTCTCATAAAGTTCAGCCAATCTTAAGTAAATATCAACATGGTTTTCGTAGTGGCCTCTCAACCATTACCAATCTTATTCAATTTTCCTCAACCGTCATAAAAGGTTTTATTCAGCGTAATCAAACCGATACAATTTACACTGACCTCAGTAAAGCTTTTGACAGGGTTAACCATGAATTTTTAATATATAAATTAATTCAAATTGGTTTCAGTATAAATTTAGTTAAATGGATATCATAAAATGCAATAATCCATTCCAAGTTGCTAATGTGTGCAGACGATGTCAAATTGTTTATAAACCATAACTCCATGAAGCATGCTGATTTACTTCAAAACGATTTAAATAGCCTTTTTCAATGGTGCGAATTAAACTGTATGGATTTAAACCTAAAACAAATGTAAGAATATGTGTTTTTCCATATCTTCTACTTTAACAAGGCAATACAATATTTGTTTAATTTAGAATTGTATAAAAATACTACTTTTTATTGACCCCTGTTTTGGTCCTTAATTATTCGTTAAAATGTATGCGCTACCGTTTATTGCAACCTTGGTTTAGCGCCTTTGACATTTTAACGTCTAATTAATTGCCACTTGCTTTGCCGCCTCCTTTAAGCATCAAGGAGTACCATTCTGTCAGTCGGACAGACAACACTGCAATATCGTTTGCAAGCACGCATATCGTTGCGCACAGGCATATCGTGGCCAAAGGTAATATTGTTACCAACAACCAACGTACTAATAAACATTGATGGGCTAAAGAATTCTCTGATCCCTATATTACAAAACAACTTGTTACATCTCTTGTGCGACCTATATTAGAATATGGCTCTGTTGTATGTGATCCCCAGTATGCAATATATTCCGATAAATTTAAATCATTGCAGAAACAATTTCTACTTTTTGCACTGAGAGGTTTACATTGGAATAGGGATTTTGTGTTGCCTTCTTACACTAGCAGGTTAAAATTAATTCGATTGCCTGCATTAAAATGCAGACGTATTATGTTGAACACTGTGATGGTAATTAAAATCTTAAACGGTAATATACCCTCAGACTTCCTAATTTCATCCATTAGAATAAATGTTCCTTTTCGATCCAGTAAATATTATCAACCACCTAGTAAAATGTGTATTGATTTCAATTCTGTGTATTCTAAAGTAGACTTTTGCATGAATATAGAACTAACAAAATCTAATATAATTGTATTTTTAAATGAATAATACAACTTAATAACAAACTGGCTGTTGAAATAGATTTCTGTAGCTGGTTTTCTATCCCCTCTCATATTCCATCGTAATGCGGATTATGGTGTGTACGCGATCCCTACGAAAGGGGAGGTCGCCCCCTCGGTCGGCAGGGGGGGGGGGGGGGAAAGTGAGGCATGGGACGTCGTCATCTGCATAAACGTTTTCTTCAAATCCCATTTCATTTATGTTAATGAACTCTAAAAAAACTCCTAAAGACTATATTTTATTGTTGTATTTTCTTCTTTGTTCTCTTAGATTCTAAACGAAACAACATTTTATTAAAAATTAGTTAACTTTTACATATATATATATATATATATACATATATTAGCTGACCTGGCAAACGTTTTCGGCATTTTAGATTTGTTATTCAATTTGTATTCAAATCTGTGTTTTTAGAAATGTCCATGAAAACTATTGGTACAGAAAAATTTTTTATATCACCCGCATACCAATCTCAACATAATTTTTTGCAGTATAGAGTTTCGAGTTCCAGTTGAATTGGGAAAACTACTGTTTAAGCAAGAATTGCTATTCAAAATAGTTAAATAGTTAACCTCTAATTTGAAAGGCCGTAGCCGTTGAAATCTGTCTACTCCTTTTTATTACATCCTTGTAATAGTATGAGGCTGACAGATTTCAACGGACATTTGTTTACACTTATGAGTTTGCGCCACCTTTAGGCATCTTTGTGTTATTGTTATTATTACTTGGTTAATTTTCGTTGTCTGACATTGAGCGTCTATGTCATCTGGTGAGTAAAACTGGTGGTGAGGCTCGAGAAATCTTCTCGAAATCGTCTCTAGTTCGGGACTAAAGTCGATTCAACACGGAATTAATAGTTGTCTTTCCGCAATGGCAATTTATAACATACCAACGAAAAATTGGGATCCGATCGTGGTATTTCTTTGTTTCCAAAAATTGCCCAAAGTGACACACGCTTTATGGGAGCAAAGTGTTAAATCCAAATCGTCTCTTTCATCTTGGAAAGAGTTATATGCATTCTTGACAGAGAGAATTCGAACTCTTCTGTGTTTTCATGAAATAAGAAATGTCACATTCGAAGAATAAAATCAATTCCGTTTCGTCTAAATGTGCATCATCTACTCCTCGTTCGTCCTCTGATTCTTGTTGCGTTCTTTGTTCAGAGCAACATACACTATATTATTGCTATCGGTTTTTAAATTGTACACCTGCCGATAGATTTAAATTGGTCAAAAAGCATCGTTTGTGTAAATTGTCTTCGTAGGGGACACGAAGTCAACAATTGTAACAGTCGTACTTGTCGAAAGTGCAATCAGAGACATCGTACTCTATTGCACAGAGATAGCTCTATTGTGAGCGCTCCGAGTCAGATGGTGACTCCTACACATTCTAATTTATCGTCTTCGGCACCAGCTTTTCGACCACGAAATTTTAATGTAAATAGTAATGGTTCGCCCTCTTTCACTGTGGTTAATCCACCCGCATCGGTCGGCACTGCTATTCGACAGACATTTCACGCCACGCAGAACAAAGCAGTTCTATTGGGAACAGCCATGGTCAATATTGTTAATAATGGTGATTGTTATCCTGCTCGAGCGCTAATAGATCCGGCTTCTGAGTCGTCTTTCATTTCCGAGCGACTTCAGAAGAAATTGAAGCTACCGGTCAAATCCACAATTTCGACAATTCGCGGAGTAAATTGTACTGTCGCTACTACATGTCGAAAAATGTGCTCGTTGAAACTTAGCAGTCGTTGTAATAGGTCTCACAGTTTGGAAACGTCAGCATTGGTAGTAGATTCCATATCGGGAAATCTTCCATCCATTTTGATTACTTCGGATCTTAAATCTGATTTGTCAAATATAGTTTTGGCAGATCCCGATTTCCTTGAATCTCGTCCAGTAGATATTTTGATAGGAGCAGACTTGTATCCAAAAATCATACAAAATCATAGTTTTCGACTCTCGTCTGGATCGCTGTTCGCTCAAAATACAAAATTAGGCTGAATAATTACTGGTCCTATAAAATAATTGTTTTCGTAAATCGTACGAAATCGTTGTAAGGCGACCCTCAACAAACAAACCACAATTTGGCTCACATATTGCGGGGTCCCAAATGGCCCTTTCGTTTCGCGGGGTCCCTAATGACTCTTTCGTTTCTCGGGGTCCTTCATGGCTCTATCGTTTCGCGGGGTCCATAATGGCCCTTTCGTACCACAGGTCCTTTCTGGCCTCACACAACCGCAGGGTCCCTAATGGCTCTTTGGTACAACAGATACTTGAAGATCTGTATAATCGCGGGGTCCCTAATGGCTCAATCGTTAGTTTGTAAGCATGTTTTTTGAAAAAAGTAAAAAAAAAATGTAAAAGGTTTTGCTCACATTTGTACTATGCCGTTATTTATAACTAATTATATTTGTTAAAACATAAGGATGTTTCAAGGGAGACGGCAAATGTTTAGGCAAGAATTGCTATTTAAAATAGTTAAATAGTTAGCCTCTAATTTGAAAGGCCGTAGCCGTTGAAATCTGTCTACTCCTTTTTATTACATCCTTGTAATAGTATGAGACTGACAGATTTCAAAGGACATTTTTTTACACTTATGAGTTTGCACCACCTTTAGGCATCTTTGTGTTATTGTTATTATTACTTGGTTAACTTTCGTTGTTACCGACTGGCTACACGCACATATCGTTGTGATCGGGCTTAAATAGTAAGCCACCGTACATATTGTTGTACCATACAGGTAATATCGTTACCAATAAATACTCGGCATTTTACTGATAAACTATCGTGTTTTATTTTATTTCTTTCTTTATTTCTCCACTCCTGAGTTCTATCGTGTACTGGATTTACTAGGAGAGCCTCTCACTGCACCTTACATACCGCCTCCACCTAAGTCCCTATAGTGCGGACTTAACATTTGGTTGAAGTTGCACATGGAGGTGAAAAGGAACTTTTTATTAAAACATATGGATGTTTCAAGGGAGGCGGCAAATGTTTAAGCGAGAATGCTATTTAAAATGGTTAAATTCTTAGCCTTTAATTTGAAAGGCCGTAGCCGTTGAAATCTGTCTACTCCTTTTTAGTATACCCTTGTAATAGTATGAGGCTGACAGATTTCAACGGA